TAAAAGAACTTTCTATAAATAGCTCATGTTGCATTTCAGTTTTCTGTAGAGTTTGCATGCCTAAGACTTGCAACAAGTTCATCTATCCTGGAATCCGAGCACGATTCATCTGAGTCGGTAGAATCTTCGTCGCCACTCGAGCCATTAAATATCCAAAGAGAAAACTGAGTGTCGCTCGGTTCATTAGTTTTCTTGTGACCCATGAGCGCACTTCTTGCCCTTTTGTTTGACTTTTCGAGAAGAACATCCCTCGAACATGGGCTCTTAACAAATTTCTCCTCACAATTCATCTCGTTTTCAGACAAGTCCTTACGTATGCCTCCACTCGAAACAGGGGCTGCTAGGTTCGGATTTGATGAATTACTTATACCGGTTATCTTGAGTTTATCTCCAGTGGCAGAGGGTGAACTTGCAAGTTTACGAGAGTGCCCTTCCCCTGAAACATGTGAACAAACTATAATTGATAATTTGCAATTTGATTATTATAATGAGACTTGAAAATAAGTGTAACAGTGAGCATTCTAGTGGGATTTTTTCGAAAAATTTGATCATTTACTCCCAAATCTAAACGAACTTGTAAATTATCAACCAGGAGTTAAAATTCAATTAACTCAGTAATATTCAGATAGTTTCATATCTCAGAAACCCCTTTAAATCCTTTGTTGCAAAATCTACTATTGGAAACGGAACCTTGGTGTTAAAAATACTGTGATATGGAGCTTTTTTAAAGTAACTAAACAGAATATACCGTTCAAAAAAGCAAATGCTGGCAGCAGTTAATAAAGCTTAATCAGAAAACCAAGTGAATATAGCATACTGTAAGTAAGATATCTGTAGCTGAATCTTACCTGAACGAGGTGGCGGTTCACGTTCATTACTTTCTACTTGAGGAGAATTGCAACGTGATCGTGAACTGGGACAAGTTTCAACTGTATGATCAAAATCCTCTCTTGTGAAAAAATGGGACAAGTTTCCATTACCTGTAAGCCAGGCAGCTAAAGTTTTGACACTCATTTTAAACACGGGAGAAGCCAAAGAACCGTTAGATTTCATATTGCACAATTAAAATAATTACAAAGTGAAGAATCTCAACCAAGTCTTATTACATAACCTAAATAGATCAAAAGTAGCATCAAACACTCAAGACTTGGTTAAAGAGTAAAATTTGCAGAGTAGCTAATAAAGGAGCAGCAGAACCTGAAAAATACGCTTCTAAAATAGGAGTTCAATGATTTCAGCACAAATGCTGCTGGTAACCAGCCATATACAAGATTACCTTTCAGACTCCGGCTCTTCTCATAAAGAAGATTACATAAAAAGCAGAAACAAAATCGAACTCAGTAGAAAAGCCATGATAGCTCAAATGCTTTACAAATTGGAAAATGAGAAATAATTCATACACAGTACATCATATATAATAAAAGCCATCAATAATACGCACAAGCTAGCACTTCTCACCAGCTATATCAGCAAGATCCTCCACATTCACGTTCAACATACCGGCAAGATACTCCTCGATCTTCGTGATCCTTGGCACCAAACTATCGAGCCTCCGTCTATGAAATTCAGCCTCCTTCTCTGACTCCAAATTTTTCATCATCATCTCTCCCACCATCCGCTTAGCCTCAACATTCGGCCTTTTCAGTTCATCCAAGGCCTTTTCAGTCTTAGCCAATTTTCTCCGTAAATCTTCAATAGTCCCGATCGCACCCAATCTCTCATGCCCCAAATCATCCATCGCTTGCTTCATTTCCACAGCCTTTGTTTCCAAACAATCACATTTATCCCGATACACTCTCGCCAGCTTTTCACTTTCCAACTTTTCCTTCGTCAACCCATCAACTTTATCGTTCAACTCAACTATCAACTGCTTCTCCTCACGCAAACAGGACACAGTATTTTCCATATCCCTACATTTCTTTTCAATCTGAACCAATTTATGCTCGAGCTTCAAACGCTCAAGCTCCCCTAAGGCCACTTTTCCCTCCAGCAACGAGGCCTCTTCTCTAGCGGAGTCGCGTTCTCGGCTTAGACTTTCAATCTCCACCTTCATGCCCCTCTCCCTGTCCTTTAATATGTTTCGGACAGCAATAAAGTCTCGTTCGAGGAACGAGTGTTTAATGCGTTTTATCAGTTTTGGAATGGGCAAGCTGGAAGATATCGAGCCTTCAGAATCAGATGAGCCCATTTTCGGTTTGGATGAGATGAAATTGTTCAGCGAATGGGTTTAGGCTCGCCGATCCCTAACCGCAACAGAGGAAGCTT